CTGTTTTTTAAAAAAAGATTATTTCCTGAGACTGGTATTTTGTCCTAGATGTTTGGTCATCTAACAGTGAGGCAAATGCATATCTACATAATTGGGCAATGCCTAAAGGGATAATACCTCATCTGTTTCAGAATCCTCAGCACACTGGATGGCACAGGGTAGTCACATAAACAGTTTCTGAGTTAATTTATGCATTGTGGAAACAGTGACCATTACAGCCTGACAGACCTGTATGTGAGTCCCAATTCTGTCACTAGCAATGTGGCCTTGGGCAAGTTATTTTCCCTCTGAGACTTTTTTTTTTTAATCTGTGAAATGTGAGAGTGTGCATATCTTCCCACATACATATTCCTTTAAAACAATACTCTGCAAGAGCCTTAGCCTCTAACACAGTGCTTGGCACATACACTGTGGGGACTTTTTTAAAGGAAGAATTCTTATTTTTACTTCCACATTAACTTGCAAATCTGCCTTTAGGTATCAGATGGGGCATTAGAATTTTAAGATTTTGACAATATGAGCATTATCTCTGAGATATACTAAGACCTTATAATTTTTCCACCTATATCACTGATCACTCGCCATTCATGTCCAGCCCCCATTGTCTTCTTTAAGCCTTGGAGAAAATTAATGGAGTCATATATAAAGCTCCATGATATGACTAATCTTGTACACTTTTAATCAAGGACAGAATTTGCTAAGGTGTGGCCAAAATTCGCCAGCGGTTTTCTTTACAGTCTGTATCCTGGCTAGACTGGCTGTTTTGGCGTCTAGTTTTGTCTGGAGTCTTAGACTATTCAGCTGCTTCAGGCAAAATCTTTTGGGGTGTCATTAAATGGGATTGATAATTGGCTTCTGATGAATATTCATTGTGACTAATGACTTTGGGCAAATTTTACACATACTATCTTTATATTTTCCCACTGAGTGAGATTTTGATAGGATCATTTTCCTCAACTTGTACTTTAATTAAATATTCACAATACCCCTTTGTTGACTGTGCTCCAAATTGTATTCTTTCATTACTTTAAAAATGTACCTTCTGTAAGGAATCAACATAGCCATTTAGAAATGGGCCTTAAAGTTACTTTTAAAGTAAATGGTGAGTGATACTTTACAGGACACATTACTCCTAGTTAAGTATAGCCATGTAGTAAGACTTTACTTGTAATCAGCTTAGCCACTTTTCTTGAGGGACGATATATATAATATGTGGCACTTAGTATTTTGGGTAAGAGCCAAACAACTCTCTGTTTTGTTTGTTTTCTTAAATGGATGAATGCATTTTACCTCAATTGCAGATTTAGCCCTTAGAAAATCCTCTAATGAAATAATCAGGCATTTTAAAAACCTGATTTTTTGTGTATGTGTATGTGCCTGTCTTGGGGCTTGAACCCAGGACCTGGGTGTTGTCCCTGAGCTTTTGTGCTCAAAGCTAGCACTCTTCCACTTGAGCCATAGCTTCCACTTGAACCATAGCACCACTTCTGGATTTTGTTAGTTAATTGGAGAAAAGAGTCTCATGGACTTTGATGCCCTGTCTGGCTTCAAACTGTGCTCCTCAGATCTCAGCCTCTTGAATAGCTAGGATTGCAGGTGTTAGGCACCAGTGCCTGGCCTTGATTTTTTTTTTTTTAATAAAAGTAAGTTATTTTAAGATCTTGGCTTTTACTTAGGAGACTTATTTTGAGGTTAAGAAGACATGGAAAGACTATAAAGAAAATAGTAATCAAGGGGCTGGGAAGGTGGCTCAGTGGTAGAGCACTTGCCTGGCAATGCATGAAGCCCTGGGTTCCATTCCCAACACCACATAAGAAAAAAGCCGGAAGTGGTGCTGTGGCTCAAGTGGTAGAGCACTAGCCTTGAGCTGAAGAGCTGAGGGACAGCACCCAGGCCCAGAGTTCAGGCCCCACAACCGGACCCCCCAAAAAAAGAAAATAGTAATCAATTTCCAACTCAAACAGGATCATTTTAAGAGATGACTTTTTCTAAGAATTACAAATGAATTTATATAATGATGTTTTAAGTGCTTTCATTTATTTGATGTGTTACAGAATAGGCATATCATTGCACTAATGGATAAATGAATAAATAAATTGATCTTTCCTGTGGTCACATATCTTATGTCTAAACTTGTTATTGTTTTGGAATTTGTGTTACATGCCCCACTCCGTGCGCCTCATGAAAATGTTGGGTCAGTTACTGTTGATATCTAAACACTAAGCAGCTATCTTTATGTTGTGAATATATTCTAAGTAGGAATCATTTTTTATTTATTCAAGACACAGTGTGTTAACTAACACTTTTATGTATGCAGTGCTACTGAGAATAAGATGAAGAGAGAAATATCTCTGGGTACTTTATATCTGGGGACAAGCATTGTGGTCCTGTTAGTAATGGGGAAGTGCCCAAGTGAGCCAAAGTAAAGGCGTCAGGGATAAGGGGAGTGGAGTACTTGTACAGAGGCCTGAGGAAGGAGTTTGCCAGCAGGACAAATTGAGACCAGTGTGGGAGATGAGTGAAAGAAGGGGGAGGGAAGGAGTCCATAACTATTCCTATGTTCCCCATTATATATTCTAAGGGAAAACAGCCAGGGCTGTTGAGACGTGGTTTTAGATCCTGCTTTAAGGTAGATTTTTGAGCTGGTGGAGACATCTGTTCTAACCATGCCCCCAGACTTCTGAGAAGAAAGTACTATGACTAGACCTGCACTTTCAGAAGAGTACTCTGGCAACTAGGTAAAGGATAAGCAGCAAGAGTCAAGGCTGAAGGCCAGTGTAATCTTCTGTCCTGACTTGAGGATGGCATTAGATTATGGTTGGTTTGTTCTCCACTCACTCAAGTGTTTTCCATCTGTAAGAAACTCTGAAGGGATTTGTCATTTGTATACATAGGACAACCTCCTTTATTGAGGAATCTAAAAATAGATTGGGAAGGACAGATTGGGGCTTTGGCAGCGTCATTGGAAGCAACTCTCCAGTGCTCAGTAGATCATCTCCCGTTCATGGCATGTACTTGATTTAAAGAACAGGATCTGGAGGGAAAAGAGAATGGGGGAAGTAGTGCCCTGGCTTCAATACACAGCTCTCACAACTGTGAAACATCAGCAGAATATCCAATTTAAAGCTGGTCATGTTATACTAACCTTTGGGATTCTTTTAACTGGGCCTTGGCACGTCACTCTTTCAGCACGTAAATGTCCTTCTGTCAGCAAAGGCCAGTTAACAGCTTCCAAAAGAAGCAAAGTTCTCTAGGGAACAGGCTTCCCAGAAACCAAAGAAACATAAAGAAAAAAAGACAGAAAGAAACATGTGTTGTTGGCTTTTTTTACTTCATAACTGCATCTCCAAAGGTTGCCTTTTTTCCCTTTCTTTTTGCAATATTGAATTTTATAGGAATTGTATTCCTTTTTATTTTCTTTCCTAAAATTTTAATTGTATCAAATGCTGATTTTATGATGTAGCTAACTCTTAAGGAACAAAAATAGGAATACAAAATAGGCACGTGTAGAAAGCATAGAAAAGAAAGGATTAGGCCATAACCAATGCCAGAGCAATTGATTAACTGAAAAAATAAATTCTCACCTCAGTTTTTAAACCTAAATTAATTCCAGATGGATTAAAGAGTTAAATGCTAGGAGAAAATTTGGAGGACCTTCTTAAAAGTAGAGGAAATCATCTCTAAGGAAAAGATTTGTCTACATAATTATCTAAACACTCAGAAATTAAAAGTAAGTAAAGGATAAATTGTTTTTTAAAAGATCATAAAGGGTTAGTATCCTTTAGGAACCACTATTGCTTGCTTTTTAAAAAAAATTAAATTTTACTGTAAAGGTGATGTACAGAGGGGTTACAGTTACATAAGTCAGGTAATGAGTACATTTCTTTTTTTAATATTGATTGCTTATAAATCAGTTTGAAAATACTAATACTTATTTTTTGTTCTATGCATATATTTAACATTTATTAAATACCAACCGTGATCCAGGAATAATATTTTAGTATTAAAAAAAATTCAAATCGGGGCTCAGTGGTAGACTTCTCGCCTTATATGCATGAGGCCCTGGGTTCAATTCCCCAGCACCACATAAGCAGAAAAAGCCAGAAGTGGCTTGAGCTGTGGCTCAAGTGGTAGAGCTTTAGCCTTGAGCTGAAGAGCTAAGGAACAGTGCCCAGGCCCAGAGTTCAGGCCTCACAACTGGCCAAAAAATAAAAATAAAATCCATAAAATATGGTCAGGGGGGAGGGGTGGGCGGGGGAAATATGGTCCCAGGTGACAAGTTACCAAAAGCAGCAGGAAAAGTCAAAATTGCTCCTAGCAATTTCTGCCTTATAGCTCTGCCTTATAGCTCAGCTAAGGAGCAGAATCTCTACAACCAAGGGAAACACCAAGGTAGAGATGATCCGGCCAAAGACCAAGAGAAGGAAGTGGAGGAAGCTCAGAAGAGCAGGCAGAGTTTGGGTAAGGCTAGCCTCACCTAGTACATTAAGACATGGGAGCACCTCCAGGGTTTGGGCCTTTCTCCCCTGGCCTTCCAGTTCAGTTGTAAACCCCTGCTTTTGTTCTCTTTCCTGGTTAAATAAAATTCATCAGGATGTTTATTGTTCCAATGACTTTGTCATTTTTAAAGTTAACTAAGGACAACCGGTTTTCAGGTCCTTCTGCTCACTGTCACTCTCCTGGCTTTTACTTTTCTTTTTACTTTTACCCTTTACAATGGAATGAACTCAGGGTCTTGTGCATGCAAGGCAAGTATTCTAACAGAGTTTATACCCCTGTCTTGCATTCACTTTATAATCAGAGAGGAAAAAAGTAGACATTTTGAAGAGAAAGCTCTTACAAGTATGCATTAGAGTAAGTTAACTTAGAATGACTCCTCTAGACTTCTCAGTTCATAATCTTAAATAAGTGGATGAGTAGTTTTTTGACACTGAAACCTAGTAGTAATACTTGTTCCCTTTCAGTTCTTAGCTCTTAATCTCTGCTTTGCTCTGTTGCAGTTGACTGCCTGCATTCATGGCTCAGCCGCAATGCTCTACCCCATGTACTGGCAGCATGTGTACATCCCCGTGCTGCCTCCACACCTGCTGGACTACTGCTGGTAAGAAGCTACCCACCTTCTCCTTACTTTTTCTCCTCCAGTAATGTACCAGGAAATGTTACAGCTGTAACTTGGTATTGCCCTGGGTTATTCCAGTTAAGTATACTCAGGTTTTGGGGTACCTGAAGACATAGCCCTTCTATTTCCCAACAGCTGTCATCATACAGGTCATTCCATTCTAAGTTCATGTTTAAAAGCTAACACTCTTTCTATTTCTCAGTGTGAAGAAAGCAAAACATCAAGAGGTTGTGTGCCTTTTTTTTTTTTCTCAACACAAATTGGAGCCTGGACCAATGCAGATCCCCAAGGTCTTCCAGTTTTAGTCCTGGCACTTCCTGCCATACTCACCTTAGCTGTGGTTTGGCAGCCAAAGCCAGACTTTGAAACCCTCTGAAGTTTTTTTTTTAATTTTTTATATCTATTTTTTTGTTTGTGCTGGCTCTGGGGCTTAAACTCAGGGCCTGATTACCTTCTCTGAGCTATTGTGCTCAAAGCTAGTGCTCTACCACTTGAGCCACAGCTCTACTTCCTGCTTTTGAGTGGTTAGTTGGAGATAAGGGTCAAGGACTTTTCCTGCCAGGGTTGGTTTTGAACCTTGATCCTCAGATCTTAGAATCCTTGGTAGCTAGGATTACAAACATAAGCCACTTTTCTGTTCAGTATATGAATTTAAGTGGAGAGAAAGGAAGGGAAATTTGGAGTTGACTTTACTAAGTCATTTGGCCCAAGACTTTATTTCCTCATCTGTAGGAAGAAGTTGTTCAACACATAATGGCATAGTGATGAAATGAGGTAATAGACTAAGTACTCCAGGTAGAAGAGCTTGCCAGTGGGAAGTACCTGGTTCAAGTTTCCACTAAACTATGGTGAGGATAAACTTACTGTCTCTCTTCAGTAGCTTGCTGGAAAACAGGGCTCTAGGTGGTTGATTTGAATCTGTTTTCCTCTTTAAAACTTTTTTCTTTAGTATAATGTGATTATAATTTTGTCAGCAGATGCTGATAGGAGAGCCATGGGTGTGTGTGTCTGTGTGTGTGCCTGTCTGTGTGTGTCTGTGTGTGTCTGTCTGTGTGTGTGTCTGTGTGTATGTCTCTGTGTGTCTCTGTGTGTCTCTGTGTGTGTGTGTCTGTGTAGGCACTCCCTGCCTGCCAGAAATTCAGTGCTTCAGGAGAAAACAACCCATCTGAGAGCTTGCAGTCCTCATTTAAGAACACATGATTCAAGACATTCACCATTGGTTTAAAACGGAGTCTAGGTCAGATTTGCTGTTTTACAGTCATCTTACTAAAAAAAAATCTCACCCAGGTAGCCACTCATTCGTGGGAAACTAAAGGCATTCCATGGTTACCCCTGGGTTGAATATGTTGGGCTTAACCCTCTTCCTGAAAAGCCATGTGAATAACAAGGATGTCACTCAGGACCAACAAATAAAAACTGGCAAGCAGCTCTTGAGCACAGAGCCAAATGAACTGACCTGTTTCTCTTTTTATTATATATCCTTTTTATCAAGCTGGATTTTTTTTTTTCCAAAACCAGGGTTTGAACTCAGAGCCTCACACTTGCTCATCTTACATGCTCAGCTGGTGTTCTACCACTTGAGCCATGCCTCCCATCCAGCTTTTTGCTTGTTATTTTAAGATGAAGTCTTAGGATTTTTTGGCTTTGGCTATTTCATACTGCGTTCCTCTGGATCTTAGCATCCTGTGCAGCTAGAATTATAGGCATGAGCCACTGATACCCAGCTAAACTGAGTCATTTTATCCTTGTCTTCCTCCCACCTCTGATGAGATTAAAGGGCAGTATGTAACCCCAGCTCATTTTCAATCTCATAATGATCCATTAGGTGTCTGGACTCCACATTTGGTTCACTATGTCTCTTTATACCTTGGTTTATTTTAGAAATTATTATCCATTAATGATGTCTTCCAGGTACTATTGGTGTAGATTTTATTTTTTGTCCTTTCTGGAGTAGATAGATTTGATAGTTTTTGAAGATAGGCAAGGATAAGGATATAAAGCCCTCATTATCAGTCCACCTTATTTCCACTAAATATCTAGGGTCCCTTCCTTCCTCAGCTTCCAGTACCCTCTTCCCCCAAGTTCTCCAATGTGTCCTATCCACTAGAGACTCCATGGAGTGCCAAATTCTTTCCAGTGGCAGCTGCTGCTTCTGCTCCCAGGTCAAAGTGAGCATCTTAGAATCCTGTGCCCACTGCCATGATCTGGTGTAGCGTGACTTTCCCTGCCATCCTCAGCTTCAGAAGCCATGCTGGGGATGTCTCCTCCCATTGAGCTCCCATTGGTGGTACTTGCCATCTTATACATAGGTAGCCTCTCCCTCAGAGAGACCATAAAGTAGCACAAACAAGACTAGGCTGAGAGGACAACATTCAGTTCTTGTCTCATCTCCATTAATGCCTGGCTGTGTAGCTTAGAGATAGTGACTTTTCCTGTCTGAATCTCTGCCTTTGTCTGTGGAGAGCTAAAAATGCTAAAATGTATTCCTTAAACTGTTTCAAAACAATAATGTGTATAAAAGCACTTTCAGACTGCTGATCACTCTCAACCACCTAGCAGAGTGACACCAACTCATCTGAAACTTCTCTCTTATCCATATCCCTAGCTTCAAGTTCTTCCCTCTGATTATTACTTTCTTCATTGGCCCTACTTTTGTGTCTTTGTCACATTGTTACCCTCACCCCCTTTGTTTCTCCTTCTCATAACTCCTCACTAACTCCTTAGGGTTTTCTTGCCTTCTTGATTGTTCTGTACCTTTGTGGGTTCGATGCAGTAGATATTTTCTGATGCCACATCTTGGGTGCTACAAAGGCTACGATAAGAGTCAGGCTTAATCAAAAAAGATTCAGATAATTAGACAGGCACACTAAGCACCTAAGACTCACCAGAGGAGAGCTGTTGGGTTCTGGGTCCCCTGGATGCAACCCAATAGGCAGATACTGCAAGAGAAAGTCTAGAGGCCAATGTCAGCAGGACTCATAGAATGTTGGTGGTACCGGCCCTCAGCTTGCTGTCTTTTTTCTCTGTCCATCATGTTCCAGACTCAGGGCTAGAGAGAAGCCATACAGCCTGAGATCCCAAAACTGAGTTCCCAAGGCCTGTCATCAATACCCATCCCCTTCCCTTTCTAAACATCCTACCCCACCTGACAAAGGAGAAGCAGCCTATGAGAAGCCACTGACCACATAACCTGGGAGTTCTCTCATGAGGGTTTTCTGGAACACATCAAGGCCTCCCTTCTCCATGGTTTCATTGAATACCCCTTCCCCTCAGCTCTGCTCTCTCCCCACAGATGTGCTCAGGTGTCAAACTAAACTTTAGCTTCCTTGCTGTTCATTTTGAGTGTCTGAAACAATTCTTGGCTTTTTTTTTTTTCCAGTCATGTACCTTGCTGTTTGGATAAAAGGCTGGGGGACTGGGCAGAAGGCCAAAGAGGAAGAAGACCAGGTTGCTGGGGGGAAGAGAGAGAGAGAGAACAAACTGTATAGCCCAGGAAGGGAAGTAGTGGTGGGGAGACAGATAACTGAGGAAAGAAAAGAGATGTAGAGAAAGGGAACATACCTATCCCAAGAAAGACTAAGCTAACCTGGCCCTCTCAGTTAAGAGCACCTGCTGGCAATCCCTGCTATACAGATGTCAACAGGCTCCCAGGCAATGCCCCACTTCATAGACACAAGTGCCTCTCCACAGAAATATATCTCAGAGTCTCCCACATGTAGTGAAACAGTATGTTAAAGGGAAGCCTTGAGTACCACTGGGAGAGAAAGCCCACAAGTCCTTTCTTGCATTCAGACAGATATGTTTCTTTATTCAGATGATACAGCTGGGAAAATGGATGTAGTTCCTTTGCTAAATAGCATGATCCTGCCTTTCCATTATTTGGACAGTTGAGGATACTCCATTATGAGTGAATTTAAAACTGGTACTCCAGGACCATGGAGTCCTGTCAGTAACATCATTGATAACTGGAGCTGTCATTGTGGGCTGTCTGGTCTGTCTCCTTTACATCTATGATCTCATTTAATTCCAGTAGCTCTGGAAACAGGTGTTATTAGCTCCAATTCACAGATCAATAAGCCAAGACCCCAAGAGGTTTAGTAGTATAGACAGTATGTGTCTGATTCCATTCTTATAAAAACAAGCAAGAATTATACACATGTAGACACACCATAAAAATTAGATTATTAAAGAAGCAGACGTTTGCATATACACCCAAATATTTAACAATGGCATGGTAAAACAAGATTTCAGCGTGCCTTTTATTCTATTTTCTGTATTTTCAAATGTCTGTAATGAAGAAGCATTTTTTTCATCTCTAAAATACTTCTCTTGCAAATGATCAGTGTTTATTCTAGCCAGTTATTTGTCCTAGACATCATCTGTCCATCTTGTTTGCTTAGAGGATTTGTTATTTTATTGTTTATTGTGAAAGCTGATCCCTTGTCCTTTCTACTTCACCACTCTCCAGAACAGTCACCAGCCTACTGAGAGCATGGTGTTGGTAAGGTATGCTGCTGAACCCTTGTCATACCAGGCTACCATTCTAGAGAATCAGAGTTCAGACGCTAATGTATTGGTGCCCAACTGGGTTTTAGGAGGACTTCACCTTGGAAGTTCATGTGTTTATATGATAGCCATCTCTCTCCTGGTCTCTTGTCACAAAAGAAAACATCTGACCAGAGGATTATTACAGGATTGTAGGCATTGGTGTCTGTTAACTGTACGATGTAAGATTGAAAAGAAAGACCCCAAAAGAAAAAAACAAAACAAAAACAAAAACCCTCCAATCAAGGATTAATTTGATCACCTTCAGCCTGCTGCTACCACTCTGGTCAGAAACTACAAATGTCATGAAATTTGAGTCAATGCTCAGAGCTTTATTCTATTGTGCTCTGGGACTCCTCACCACCTTGCTTTTCATCCTTGGTGGTAAGAGCCAGCAGGGATAACTAGCATTTTAAGTAAAGTGCTGGGAGCCTGAA